ATCGTCCTCCATTTATCCACTTTCAAAATTCTCTAAAGGTTGATTGCTCTACATTTAACAATATATCTATATTTTTCCTAGTGCTCAGTTTACACATATTGCTCATTTACATTTTTGCCTCTATTTTTTTGGCTCTTAACAGCTTCATATTGCAGAGTTCAACACTAATTGCACACTGAAGTTGAAGAGAAATCTTGTTTTCTTGTCTTGACCACCTAGGGTCAAGAAGCACAGGCCTGTAAAAAACAGTATGCACAACACTGAATCAGAATGACTCATCTAGTTCACAAAGATATTTTCATAATTATCCATACAGGTATTCACAGACATGGTGTACTGGAAAGGCCAGTTTCACTTCACTGAATTCACCAAACTGAAATGCAAGTTTCTATGAAGGGCTTTTAACTTTAAAGTCTAAAATAGAAGTCAACCATAAATAAATACCATACTTAAAAACTTTGTTTTTAAAGGAAAAAAGGAATTCCATATGCTAAATTGATTCCTATTATTAAAAATTTAAAAAAATCACAATGTTGAAGAGTTAATGTCTGCCTTCTAGTTGAGGCCAGAATGCTGTTAGTACAGGAGATGAGGTCTGGGACTTAAACAAAATATTCTTTTTGCTTAAAATATAATACAAGCATAGATGTCAAAACACTTTTACTAACTGTTAAAACTGAAATTGAAATTAACTAAAAATACTGTAACTAGAAATTGTTAAGTCCTCTCCAAGTAACTGATGCTCATGTGTGGAATAACCACATAAAACAGCCTTCCATTGACACTGCTCTTGGCCGCACCCGAGCTCTGTGCTAGCTCTATGGTGCCACTCCAGCACGGGCAGTTGCCGGGAGTGGGGAACTGCAGGGGAAAGGCGATCCCACTGCAGAACCTTCAGAGCACCGAATCCTGCCGGGCTCTGCCAAATCAGGAGTTGTGGGTGGTGGCAAAAGGAAGGAGGAGACTCACTCGGCTGTACTTCCCAGGAACAGGTTTATTTGGGAGAGGGGATAGGCACAAAGGTCTGGCTCGGGAGAAATCAGGACCGAAGAGAGCCCAGAGCACCTCTGTGCACTGAGTTTTATCTTAGGGGTGGGCACAGTCCAGGGTCCAATGGGAGCTCATGGAGGGAGGGGTAAGGGGAGGAGGTTACAATGTCAGGGACCAATGGGGAAAAACACTTCTGTATGTGTCAGACAGAGTCAGCTAGACAACATTAGTGCCTATGGAGCTATCTAAAATTTAGAAAACTCATAAAAGTATAATTTTAATCTGTTCTTCACCATTGTTCTCCCGAAGCAAATCACAGAGCAGAAATCTTAAAAAATTATGTTCTCACTTACATTTCTGACTAAGATGTAGGACAAAAATATCTCCCTTGGACTTTTGTACAAAAGCTAGTTAGGACTTACACTAACAGTGACTTATGCAATTAATTGCAGCCATTATGGAATCAATGTCAGTGCTTTGCCTTAGAGTGATGTGCACAGACAAACTAAACACTAGTTTGAAAAAAGAAATACTGAGATTAGCTACAATGAAATAAGAAATTCTTATTTCTTAAGCATCTTTTCAGGAAACGAAATCATCTCAAGCAGGGCTATTTTCATACCTATTTTCATATTGTCATTTTTTGCCCAGAGTACCTCTGCTAATCTCACACTCATCTGTTCCAACAGCTCAATGTCTAATGCACATACATTCAAAAGCTCTTCATCATACTTGTGTATATTTATTTATGTGTGCCATCATCCTAATGAAGTGCCATGGAAAACCCCAGCAATAAGCCATAATCTCAGACAAGAGCATAAAGTGCTCATGTTACAGCTTTCAGGTGACACTTTCCATGCTGATTATTAATCTGTCAGAAGCCTAAAGTTG